TGCCAATGTTATTAACTGTTGTTGCAAATCCTGCCCAAATCCATTGGCTCATGCCGGCTCTGTAGGCTTTCACAAAGTTTTTACCTTTTGTTTATATGCTAGCCAAAGTTTTTCCCCTCTCAAATCAAGAATAATGGTCCCATTGCAGATTCTAGATATGCGTGTGAGTGTATGTGTGTTTGTAGGAATCTCATATATGCTGTCTTTTTGATTTGTATGCAGAGTGTTAAGGTTCATGTTAAGCCCAAAAGAGTTCAATTTCAGTTCAGATCAGACTGGGCAAAAAGGAACAGAAATTGGTTTGTTTGTCTTTTGCAAGTTGAGTCTATTTACAATTGTAGTTGACCATATTGATAAGCTTCCGCAGTTTGTTAGCCGACTTCATTAGACACATGCGGCCCAAAGTTTTTGGACAAAAGTTCAAGCTGAAGTCATATATTGAGCTTGAAATGATTTGTGGCAATACTATCCGTTTTTTTTTTTTTTTTTTTTTGTATGGAAAATCCACCCCTGGTTAGAAAGTGCTATATGAGGGAAAGTTTTATTTTCGCCCGAACGGCTTTATATTCTTTTTAAAACTCATTTATAAATTAAAACGTGCAAATAGGGCTTAAGGTAGTAGGCGAATGTTAAAATGTAACACCAGCGGAAAGTTATAAAAAAATATGCCTAAAATGTATTATTTAATGTCATATTATCCTACATGTAGGCAGTTTTTAAATCAGTTTAATATACTACTACGAGCGATCTATCAATAGTACCAGTTCCACGTGAGTTAAAGTAACTAATTCGCTTTCGCCAATCTGATTATTTAGCTTTTACCCGCATACCATATGTTGACCATGTTTGGTCGACTTTATTTGATTTTTGTTGTGCGGTCCGAAAAATGTTGCCCATTTATGGCAAAATGCATTCAACTGTGAGTGTCATGAGGCAAATGCAATTTGCAGAGCTGCAATTGCTGCAGCAGCAGCAGCAACAAGAACAACTGCTGACATCCTTCTCGTGTGGCATTACCTTGTTTGTGTGCGCATGTAGTTGATACGGTTGTGTGCGTGTGTTTGTGTGTACGTTGGGTGTGTGGCAGGTCTCATCATTGGGGCACAGTGCCACATGCATCAAACAAATTCGATAGCGTTGCTTTCTGGCTACTGGCCAAGGCTGCTGCCGCATAATAAGCGTAAACGTTGGCTAACAAGATTCATGCAACGCTTTTGTGCCCCGGAGGCAAACATGCAATGGCCATCAACGTGTCCCGTCCAACGTCGCCTGTCCACTTCCAGTTCCACACACACATGCAGACACATGCAAACACACACTGACAAACACACTCGTCGACGCGACTGAATGGCAAATTGCGAATTGCGAACGGAGCGCGCTTAATGCAACTTTGTTGCTCGGTTGCTGCCGCCGCTGTTGTTGCTGCTGCTGCTGCTACTGCTGCTGTTGTCAGCTTCGGTGGGGCAGCTGGCAGCGATTGAAAAATCCCACTTGGGCGTTTTTAATTGGATTTTAAAATACTTGTCCCATGCATGCTGGCAGGCTGGCAGGCGGAGGCCAGCTACAGCAGCCAGCAATGACCATGGCCATAACACGAGCATCAACCTCAGCTCTCTCTTTTTGGCACTGCTCTCTCCAACCCCTTGAACTGACCGACCAGCCCAGCAACGTATCGACCCGCAGACGATGGTCACCAGTCAGGGGCTCAACACGCTCGTTATCCTTGTTTCCTGATGCTGCTGCCGCTCCTTCTGCTGCCGGTGCTGTTGCTGCACAATTTGGTTACGTGTTTGACCTGCGGCGATTTTTCATAGCATGGCCGGTTTATTTTTTCGGTGGCAGAGCCCATACATTAATAGCATTCCGAAATTTGTATTGCAAATGTCACTAAGGGTCTGCCATGTGAATCCGTGCCATAAATATAATCACATGTGTTCTCGTTGCCAAGAAAGAGAGAAACCGCACAGCTTCATTTCGGTCCTTGTCGGTTGTGATTCAACAGTTTGATAGCTTTGCAGTCGGATTGGTTGTAGATATTTATCTTTATATTAAAACTAATATTTCTGTATTAAATAAATCAAAAATGTGCTTGCTTTCTGCTAATTTCCAAGTAAATGCAGCCTCAGATCGTAACTGGTCATTACTGCTGAAGAGAGTTTCATTTAAATGAGAGCCCGCTGGTTTCGCATTATCATTATCATTAGCATATTTGATTAAAAAGTGTCATTAGACTTTGAGCTGAGTACTCGCGCTGACAGTTGGCTGCTTCATTTCATGCTTCAACGGAACTTGCTTAAGGAAAAAACCTGTCGCTAAAAAACTTGTCGGCAGTGCACACATTTTAATTTCAACTAATTGCCAAGTCAGGGGATAGCAGTCAGGTAAATACCGAATGCAGCAGCTCTCCAGCTACAGTTTCAGTTGCAGCTGCAGCTTGTCGACGCTTAAGTAATTAAAGCGTGCATCTTCGTTAACTTAAAGGGCAGGTGCTACGTCCCGACTCAACGCCTAATTGTAGCAAGTGTCCGGCGCTCTAGTTGATTGTATGTAAATGCAATTCAATGTCTGCATCAAAGCAAAAGTTGACTTTTAGCTCGGACTTTCTCTGACTGCCTTACCTCTTTGCCTGACTAATTTACTTTTAATTATTATAATGACTTGAAGTTCGACAAATTAGCCTTAATGCGAGTTAGTGCGTCAGCGCAGACAAATGACGTCCTGCAAAGGTAAATAATCAAAAAAGTCTACGAAAAAGTCTAGCTAAATAAGTATAAATCGGTGTACTGCCAACAACTTCTATGTTTAATGAATGTTGAAGTACTTTAGTTGAGGCTAATCAGTAAAAAATTCTTCGATTGGACAAAGTATAGTAAGTATATTTAATGTCTTAAATGAAATACAAATTAGTTAAGTTAGTTAGGCCTAAGAGATGCTCGATATAACCACAGCTTGGATGAGATATGTTCTTTAATAGAATACCCTAGTTTTTTATCAGAGAGCACACAATTAACGAAGGTGTTTTAGGATTGCATAACTTACAAAGTCCACAGGACCGTAGGAAAATATTTTTCTTTTTACAAGTTATGCAAAGAAAAATGAATTTCACATAAACAAAAGCGACCAAAATATGGAACAAAAAGAAAGCACAACAAAAATTACAAACAAAAGCAACAAAAAATGGGTAAAAAAAGCACACAAAATCAACTTTGATTTAAGTTTACAAAAATGCTTAGCAATTGCTTTGCTTTTTTAGCTTTTGTTGTTGTTTTTTTTGTTGCTCGGCCTGGCATTCCGAATTTTTTCGTGTATTTTTTTCCCTCTGTTGATCTCTTTTTCTCTGCGTCGCAATGTTGTGGATTAACAGGCAACAAAATATTTTATTTTTTATTGTTTAGCAACGCTGATTTGCCCCCTCGCCTGTTGCCAAATGCCTGGCCCAGCCTGTGGGACTGTCCAACTGTTGTCTGTGTGGCTCAGGATTTTGTTGTCACTTCAACGCACACACACACACACACACACACACATACGCAAAACATGAAAAACGCAAAAGAAAAAACAAGAGTGGCAGCAAAACAAAAATCCACTTGAATTTTTTACACTGTATTTTTTGTACATTTGCAACGCGAAAAAAAAATAAATATAAAAATCTTGTTCCTGTTTGCACGCGAAATTTGCGCTTGTCTGCCTTACGGCTTGTCAGCTCGCATGTTGCATGGTTTTAGGCGGGATTTGTTGCGCGCTCGCACTGCATGCCGCATGCCACATGCCCCACACCTTCTACTACAGCAGCGGCAACTACAAAGGCAGCAACAGCCACGCCACAGTCGCAATTTAGGCAGAACAACTGCCGCATAGAGGGGGCATGTTACATTTCTGTTTTTGTGTGCTTTCCTCCACTTGAGGGTCTTAATTTTCAACATTGTTGTTGCCTTTATTGCCCAAGGCACAATGCCCGAGTGAAGGTTAACCTATAAGCCGAGATCAACTCGGGTCTAGATTAATTTCTTAGGGCTTGTGCGTTTTCTAACTGTAAACTTTCTCCAAATGGGATTTAAAATGCCTTCAAAATGGACAAATTTCTTTATTTCGTATGATATTTAAATTAAAAAAAAGAGTTATTCCCAAAACTAAAACGGGTTTCGTTTTTTTTTTTTATATATATATATTTTATTTAATAAATATATAAAATGTATTATTAATTATTTATTATTATTACTGTATTGAGTTTCAACGATTTCGTCTAGAAGCTGACATCTAAGATAGATATAAGTATTTGTTTACTTATTTCATATAAACCTTATGTTATAAATCATTCATTTTGACAATCTCCTTCCACCAACGTATTTTAAAACAAAACCTTACTTAAAGCAACGTTTCTTATTTGAAAGAAAAAAATAAACTTGGCCATTTTTGTTGTTGTACACTTTTGTGGTTATTGCCTGTATATTAAATTAGCATAAATGATTTTTAATAATTATGCGCATGAAGCCCCAATGGTTGCGCCAACACGCTGCCTGGCCACGCCCCATTGGCAGCGCCCCCAAGCAGCTGGCGCACAAATTACAAAATAATGAGCGCCAAGTGCAATGTATTTTTTGGTTTGAATTTTACATTCACCGTCCGGCCGACTATTATTGTTATATAATGGGCCCAGTTGGGAGCTGCTGTTGCTGCTGGAATGATGCTCGGATGCCAATGCTCGGATGATGGCGCTTCATGTTGGTTTTCCATGGTGAAGCGCACTGAGCGATTCTTGTGCGTTGGCGAAAATGTTTTTTAATTGCACTTAAAATTTTATTTAAATGCTGCGCACATGTGTGGCAGCATTCTGCAACAGTTTCACATGAGTCTTGTCATTAAACAGCTCTCTTAAACAGAAAATGTAGCTTCAAGCTACTTCGCTGAATATGCGAACACAAAATAAATCAGTTTTAAAATGCGCAAATTGAATTGTTTTGTTTTGAGTGTATACTAAAATAAATTACTTGGTTTACTTTCAGGCTGCGCTTTCGTTAAATTCGGTTCCCAACAGGAGGCTCAATCAGCAATAACCAATTTACACGGAAGCCAAACTATGCCGGTAAGTGCCGCAAAAACTTTTAATATGAATACGTACTGAAAATATATGTTGAATATATAATCTGCTTGCTGCTTAAACGTCGACGAAAATTATCAGCAAGTTCTCTTTTTTACATTGTTTTTTTTCTCAACTTCAACTGACAAATGAATAGTATATATATAATGCCCACATAATTTCAATTAAACTGACGTGTCTGTCGCGAAACAACATTTGAATTTGAATTGGAATTTGAGTTTAGGCTTGAGTTTGAGTTTGAAATTGAAGTAGACGTTGATGTTGAAGTTGTCGCCTTGCTGTCATTTCCCACGCCGCTTTGTGTTTGTTGGCCAAGTTGGCAAGTTAAAAACATGAAGACCTAAATATTTGTCGAGCTTATATTTCCTTTATTTTTATTCACGTTTCACACAATTTTATTCTCATTTGTCATGGACATGCACTTGTGTGCCTGTGTGTGCGTGCGTACAATGTCAAACTAATGAAATTTCCAACCTGAAGTACTTAAGGCTCTGCCTGTTTGCTGTACAGCGGTTGTACAGCTCTACGTTTGTTGTTGTTGTTGCGCCAAAGTACTTAACAAACTTGATTTAAGCTTCAAGTGACACGACCCCAACTTTGCGTTGCCCGCGTCCTTTAAATAAATTCGAATTAAATTAAATAGCGAGCAGAAATTATTATTATAATATTCTCCTGTGAACCACTTCAATGGAAAATCAAGAGCACACTTGGCTCTAATTTTCTAAAAAAAAAGGAAACCCAAGGAAAAAAACACAAATCGCAGCATCAAATTGTTTGACAACCGAGAAGCCGCCTAAAAGTTATTTCTTGCCTTTGTGCAACGATTTTGTTCCGACGAGTGACTTCATTATACAGACATTTTGTAAGAAAATGCCATATAACTACATATACATTTAAATCTACACACACACACACATATATATATATATGTATGTATGCTTGTCTGTAGAGACGTGTATATGTGTACTATGTGCTCTATGACAACGTTGCTTGCTCTGGCCTCATCGCGGTGCGGGAATTATTTTTTCTTGTGCGAAAATAAATGAAATTTGCATGACACTTGAGTTATTTTGCACGTAAATTGCTTCTTTTGACAAACAACACAGGCAAATATACAAAACCAGTCAACGAGCGTGCGCCAGCGGGCGAGGGGGGATTAAAGCAAACTGAAATGGTTGCCATTGTTGTATTTTTGGTGTTTACATCAGTGCAGCGAACAGTTCGTTTCCAAGTCAACTCTCTTTCCCTCTGCGTTCGCTTTCTGTGTGAGAGTGCAGAGCAAGTACTCTGTACGAGAATCCTGGCCGCTTTCTCCTCTTCAGGCTCATCCTCCTAGTCCTGCCTGCTGCTTTATTTACCACTCAGATTGCTGCCTGCCTGGCTTTACGAAAGGCGAAGGCGAATTTTCCATTTTCGGTTTATGTGATTGTGTATATGTGTGAGTGTGTATGTGTGTGTGTGTGTGTGTGTGTGTGTATCTATTTGCGGGCTTTGCTTTCGCTGCCGCCTCTCTACGCGCTTCTCAGTCGTGTTGCCCAACTCGTTGTCGCATTTAAATTCAAATTCAAATATTGTTGATGAAATTTGTTGCTTAATTTGCAATTTAGATGCGTTTTTAAACAAACGACCCGCTTTGCGCTGCCTGCGCCCCCTAGCCAAATCATGTGTTTACTTAGGCGGAACTTCTTGATGATAATGAAGATCCTGATGATGATGATGGCGCCAGCTCAGCGCCGTCGCGTAATTACAGCTGGCTGACGCCAAGGCATAGCTTCGCTTGGCTTGGGAGGAATAGCAAAATCAATGCAACCATGCCGCAGGACAAACACATTTTTTACAATAACACAACTTTCCGGTAAAACAGGCAAACAAACGCAACCCCAAAAATGGAGACTTCAGGCAATACGATGAGCGATGCCCCCGCCACAGCGTTCATCAGGCATCACTGCTTCACAAATATACGGGTAAAAACTTCAAAAACATAGCCGCAAGTGAGGCGCAACTACAAGCCAATATAAATAAAACCGAGCAGAAACGGCAATGCTCAGCCCCAAATATAAATCCAAATGCAATCCAAATCAAGCAAACAGTTGGACCTTGGCTTGAGTCAATTTCAATTCGTCAAATTTTACAGCTGATTGCAGAAAATCAAAGCGTGCCCCGAGGTGTTGTGTGTGAGTGAGTCAATTATAAGCGATCTAATACAACAGTAATTTTATGCTGATATCCGACTTTTCTTTTGCTGATGCAACCATTATGCTCTTCATGGCTATTTTTTATGATCTGACATGCTCTGCTTGCCTTTTGGCTGCTTTCTAATTAACGACTCGCAGCACTTTTTTCACTAGACGAGGGACTGACCCGACTGGTCGCTAACCCATGCACTGCTGCAGGCCTACAATCAACTGCACTTCACTCTGAATTATGCCCAGTGCCCGTCTGGCCGGGAGCATTACATGACTGTCATGTCTGAACTGCTGCGCCCATACCCAAGCCCACAGCTTAACAACGACAGCTGCAATTTTTCACCTGGGCAATTTTCAAGATGAGCAGCATCAGGAGCAACAAGAACGCCCCCAAAAGACGACTCTGGCAAATTGCTAGCTAGCGTGAAGGCAAAAAAAAAAACTGAAAGTGTGCACAGAGAGGTTGGAGAGCAAGAAAATGAGCGCAGCAATTTCTGTGTTTTTTATTTTTGTAATTTTAAAAGCGCGTAATTTTGTTGTTTTTTTCTTCATTTTTTTCTTACCTGCCTGCACATTAAGCATTTTAATGTCAGTTAGGCATGGCGGGGTGTGCGGCTGCCAAGTTGGCAGTTGTAATTGCAATTTGGTATTACGACTCTGGTCCTGGTAGCCAGGTAATTAGCGCAAAACGACGCGGCAGCTGTTGTATAAAATTTTTAGTAGCTTGCACAAAAGTGTGCTACACTTTAGCTCCTGCATATATTAATTATACAGAGCCAAATTGCCAAGTGCAACAACAACAACATCAACATGAGGACAAAAAAATTGATTGCCTACCTGCAGGCGTCAAAGTTGGCACAGCAGCAGCAACAGCAGCGACGGCAGACAAGCCGCAAGTTAATTTCAAGCTTAACAAAGTTTTTTTCGGGTTCTACCCGCCCCGCCGCACCGAACGTCCCTCATCTCGTCAGTGCTCTGCTCTGGTTTCGACGAACAGGCTTGGCTTTCATGTGGATGTACCACAAAAAGCTTTTAAAAAATTTTTGATTACGCCAAACCTTAAGCAGCTTATGGACGCCACGCCCCCGTCCCCCAAATTCCACTGACGCACATTGGGCAACCACCACTCATTAAAAAGGAATTTACAGTCCGGCAACCAGATCTGCTCAGCGCTGGGCAGCATGGACAGTTTCTATTTGGCCCACCCAACATGCATTCGGCTTGCCGTTAATCCTCTGGCACTCAACATGTTATAAGTCGCTTTTAGTGCGGTTTGCAAGCGTTTTCTAAACAGAAGCCCTCCCAGAAAAAACTGGACAAGGCATATATTCCGCCAAGCCGAAGCGCTGCATACTCTTTTTATCTAACTAATTAGTTGACCTCGAACAAATTTTGATGCTGAGGTTTGAATGTTGTTCTTGAATTGATATTCATATTGTGTATATTAATATTAATAACAAGTTAAACAGACCTTTGAAACATACATTAAAAATAAATTTTATAGTATTTCGTTTATATTAATGTTATGTTCTCGAACAGAGATGTCTGATGAGTTCCATCGATTTGTCTGCTTATGTTTTTACTATAATGATATTTAAAATAAGTTTTTATGATAAATCCTCGAAATGCAAATTATCTATTAGATTGCATCGATTCGAATGCTTGACCTGGTCGCATGGACTCTGTCTTGTTGTAGGGTATTGAAAAGTTTACAGTTGTAAACAATAATTTCGTATTCACTCAACACAACATTCGCTTTTTTCCACACATTTGCATAAGCCGCTGACGCGATTTTTTTCGCCCCCACTAGGTGTCTGTGTGTGTGTGTGTGTGTGAGTGCTGTGTGTAAATGCGGCTTAGAAGAGCGGGCGCTTTGGCAGTGGGCGTGGCTGCTTGTTAATGAAAGCGCGCGCATGCATTAAAGCCGGCTCTCTAAATGCTTTTGACTGGCGAAGCGCAAAAGCGCCCAGCAAAAGCAAAAATGGCCATCCGCAAAAGCAGCAGCAGCAACAGCAGCTGCAAAGCAATCCAAAGCAAGTGACTGACCAGAGTGTATCGAGGAGAGTCAAGGGTGGAGAAATACATAAATAAATATTTTAAATTACAGCCAATGTGACACAAAAACTTAGAGCGAACCGCCCGCACATTGGCTGTGCCAACGCCGAATAAATTAGGCAATTAGCATTTTTTCTTGCTCGCTTTTGTTGTTGGTTTTCTGGGCAGTAATTGTTTGCATTGCACAGTGGGCGCGGTCGCAAATGGGTTGACATTTGCTTAGAACATTTGCATTCGCCAGCTGGTTGAAAGTCAACAAACCAACTGTTTACTTGGGTAGCACAGTAAAAAAACACACTTGAAATTCACTCAAATTACTCAAAGGTAAAAGCGCGTCTGCTTCAGAAAACATCAAAAGCGATGCGAAACTTCTCCAAGATTATAATAAATTAATAAGCTCGGATATGCGTAAAAGGGAAGCGCCTAATTTGTATCCAATTACAAAGGCAACAAGAAATAAATACAAAGCAAATATTATTCGAGTAAGCAAAGTACTCAAGCCAAGGCCCTGATATACCATGCCTCATTATGTGAATTCGCAATAAGTTCTATAATTATATAAATACTATCAAATTACTTGCTTAAATTTGTACTTAGCTGCATCTCAGGTGCTTTAAGTGTGTTCGCGTGTATGTATTGGGCGTGGCTTGTTTTCACTGCATAGATTTAAAAATTGCTTAAACGCGCACATAAGCATGCTTTAGAGAGCTTCAAGGAGAATAAAATACACACGCTAACACAGCC